GTATCGAGGGCTTCACAAGACATAGTAAACCACACAACCCAATTGCTGCAATGTTGTTGTTCTGCAACTGCCGAACCTTGTGACGAAATGATGGTTTGACACCTGCTTTGGCAAAGGTACTTGCACCCGAGGGGACGTGGACCCCGCCAGCACGAGAAGGGCAATCTGATGGTGATTGACAAACATGCACACTCACTTTGCCTCTCAAACTCTAAAATCCTCATCACAATCAAAGACTGAACTCATTCATGCTGCCCTTCCCGACCTGGGGCCGGGGCTTTCCCCGGGCGCGGCCGCAGCCATCAGCTCGAGCCCGAGGCTACGGAAGCTCGCTCTCTCTCTGCCTCTCTCTCTCTTTCTTTGTTTTTCTCTTTCGCACTACGAAATCAAGTGAGAATTTGGGCGGAGATCATGAACAGGGGGCTTGCTGAGTGACTCATCCAAGAATCTGCAACCCTGTAAAAAGCTGCAAAGGCATCACATCCAAAGAACAACCAGAAGTTTTCTAATCACGCCGAACCTCAAAAAAACTCTGAGCAAAACCTGAACCCTCAAGACTCAAGTCCCACGAATCCGAGATGCCGGAAATTCTGAGACCCAAACCTTGACAAAAACTCTCAGCTCCGAAATTGTGCGTGTCACAGACTTGCAGTGCTGAACCGAACAAGACAACGACTGTGCTTGCTTAGCAAATACACGTCCGGACGATGAATCGGCCATCAAAGGCACTGGCACCTTGCAATCCACCTGTAGGTCCTCAGAGCCTGGACGGTGCCTGCATCTTGCATGATGTAGGGGAGACGGATGCTGTTCGTGTCGCAGGAGTGCTGAGGGCTTGTAGTTCGTGTCTTTATGCTTCGTTTTCAGGCGCCCAACACACCAGCAGCTCACTAGAAGCAGCATGGCGCATGCATGCGCATGCCCTATCTTTATCCCCTCTTCTCAAAAAAGATCCGATGCGCATTCCCTGGATCCAAAACTGAACGCTCGCGCAAAGCTGACTTTGCCAGCACAGGCTTGGATCGACCTAGACTTCCCCAAGCCTTTCCTTTCGCTTCAGAGCTCTGGGCCATTATCAGCATTCTCCTCGGCCAAGGTGCAAGGTCAGCGTGCCATCGCCGTCTCCGACGAAGTGCACTATGCAAACCTTGCGGAATGCATCTTTTGTTCAGGCCCCGACCTAAGGCTTGCTAGAGTCAAGGAGTGCGAGCAGAGAGAAAGAAAGGTGCTTATGGACAGAAGGTCTTCCAAATGCTTGTTAAGCACCCCATGTCATGTGGCGAAACTGTAAGCTCTGAACTTGCGCTTACATCATCTGGGACACAGCAACAAGCCAAGATATGAATACAAGTACAGATGGCCTTGTCAAGAATAGCAATAACAACTAAGAGGATAAGCAACATGAGAACAATAAAACTTTTAGAAGAAATTGGCAGGCCAGGCACCTTCCGCTGGTCCCTGAAGAGAAGACGGTCCTGGCCGGTCGATGTGCATCGACCGGTATTTTTGTGACGGCCATGGTACCTACGTTTATATCTCCCCATTTTCAACAAAGCTGCGACTACGTTTGCAGAAGCACAAAATACACCAGCAGGTTCCCTCAAACATTTTGTTTCGCCCACACTCCGTAGCTGCAACATTGCAAGGATGATGATCAAGCTGACTAATTACAATGTGACCTTCCGACGTTCAAGTATGTATGGCCCTGGAACATTCAACTCGGGTTGCGGAGGCATACCTGTGTACTGGGGAGAAGCTGACCGCAAACGGGAAGTGCTGCATTTGTCGATTCTCCGAAGAAGTTGCACTTTACATTAAACTCAAAAAATCTTTGAGCCCAAAAATGAAAATGTCCAAACATCCCAGGGCCCCTTCAACGCTAGAGAAGCGACCCGATAAAAATAAATTACTAGAACAATTCTCACTCCTTGATGACTCAGAACACGAAACACCACAAAACTTCAACCCATGAGCAACCCAAAAAGCCCAGACCCGAAAACACTCACAGCCTTAAACACCCTGCTGAGGTTTGGACTTATTACAGGGCTGCTTGGTGTTTGGGGCGTTCAGGGTTTGGCGCTTAGGGTTCTGCAGGGTCGCGGGTGTTCGGGGTTTAGAGAACATTAAGACACCCGTTACAGTTCGCAGAGTCTACTCTTGCTGCCTTATTAGCGCTTCGAGCTAGTCTGTGCTGTTTAGGCCTTTGTTCTTTTCCGGCTTCAGTTGTTTATGTTTTGGAACTTTTAGGGGCGACTTAAGTTGGACTTGTCACATTAAACCATGAAGACAAGGGTTTGGTACGCCACCCATGAAACGCGATCTCTTTCGAAAAAGCTTTGCCTCGAAACAAATGGCGCAGTTGAAACAGGCCTCACAACTCCGGACGTTCCCAACTATGGTTTCCAACACCAGCTCCTACATGAAAACCATAGTTGCCAACAAGCACTTTGGGCACACAAAATCATCGCGCACAAAACCCCCAGACCCAAAGCATCCCAAAACCTGAATACCCAAAACGATATGAAATCTGGAACCTGAAGACCCAATCAAATCAAAACACACCTGACCCAAGGCAACAACCGAACCCTAAAACACTAAAAGCCATAAGCCGGAAAGCACTTAGCGACCTGCTGTGGTTGTTGCTACCATGGTGACTTGCATTTGCCTTAGTGCACTGAGGCCAGAAACTGTTGGTGTTTGGATCCAAGGCCCGTTGGTCAGGTATCGGTATGAGGTATGTGTTCCCAACACTTGACAACCCCCCTCCCACTCCAGCCCACCCCAACCTTTCAGGTCAATCAGGCATGCTTCCCGCGCTTTTGTCTGGGTGGCCGTACAGCTTTCTTGCCGGGAATTAGCCTCCCCTTGGTGCTTGGTCCTGGGTCTGTTCCAGCTGGCAACCAGCCCTCCCAGGCCCTCTCTTCAGCCCTCATCTTCCAACCCAGTTCCAGCTCGCCCTGCCTCGCCTCCTAGCCCCAACCCTCGTGCGCACACTTGAGCCCACCTCAACTTACAGCCAAATGGTGAGGAGCTGCGAAGGTTCTTCGAAGAAAGTATCCTCAATTGTTCCAGCAGAAGCCATGACAAGTGGCGTTCCAAGTGAAGGCCATTCCCTGCCACCCTTGCCAGGCTCTGGCCTTTGACTAAATTTGGGCGGCACATCGTACCGAAACAAAGCGCTGAGGCACAGTAGGTCCAAAAGTAACAATCACTTCTACGAGCACCTCGGAAACGGATAACACATGCACGTCACTACAAAGCAGAATCTGCCGAGAGGTCAGGAGGCCAAATAGCGTGCTTCCCTCGAACCCGCTGGCCCCAAAAAAGTCTGACATTCAAATCTGAAAGTTCAAAAAGCTGCAAGCCCGTACTCCTCTCCCCGAACCTTAATGACTACCTCACGCGGCACGTCGTCCTGGAGCACGGTAGCCTCTACTTGAATGCCTTGGGCAGGTAGGGCCTGGCTGCGGCTGCGGCAAGGATCGGGACAGAAATGGTGTACAAAGACGTTTGATGCATATCGGGCCATGGAGATGATGTCTACAGTAAGCAGAGCCGTGACGTGACCCAAGAGGCATGGCTGTCATGAGTAAATCAGCTCAAACGCGCTCCATGGTGTTCTGCAAACGGACCCGTGTTGAACGGGGTTGCTTCAGCAGGCTCGAGTAAAATCTCTCCGTCTCTCGGGTGCACATGACTCTTTGGGGTCACACTACATCATACTAGTAGCAGTAAAGTGGTTGGACTGCCTCATGTCCCACAAAGACATTCATTTCATTCGAGGCCTCTATGCAGCAAGATGGACAATCAGGATGGCAGGCCAGCTGCTTCTTGTCGTCCTCCGTACTCACCCCGTGGGCCATGATCCGGGTCCTGACAACGTCTCTCCTCCCAACCACTAACAAACTGGTAAGCACGTGCCCCACACTCTCTGACCTCTACCTCGCGTCTAATCTCAAATGTATGTTGCGGCCCTAACTAGTTCAACAACGCATGCTATCTGACAGCTGATTCCAAACATAAGTGCGAACATAGTTTGCTTTCTGTAGAACCTCAAGTGGCCAAGCGCACGGCACATGCCACACGCGCGTTTTAGTAAGGAACCAAACGCGGGGTCTGCAGTAGGCAGTGGACATGGCAACCCGCTGAACGTCTCTTGCCTATCACAAACATGCAAGACTTTGTGGGGCTGCATTCCGACCAATGTGAAGTCTAAGCGCGTCCACACTCACATACACTTACATGGTGTCTTGCTTTCTTGCTTCAAGGCCTGCTGCCCCCATTGAAACCCAACTCCGGGGTGATCGTCGCTGCGAATTCTGCAAGGACGCTCAGTGCCTGCAGGAGATCAGTCGGACGCTGACAGCGCGTGCAATCTGAGGGCGACTGGGTGTTCACAAAAACACCGACGGCAACGCTGAATACTAGACCTCTTGACCTCCCACTTGCAGGCCCCCACCCGGCAGATCTCCGCGAGGTTTTCCTCAGCATCATCAAGCCAGGACACCTGGCCGATCATAGACCGATTGACTCCGAAGGTCAAAATAAGACTCACAGCCCGTCAAGCGTTTTCCACATCATGTGTTTGCTCTGTCCATGCATCACATTCACACAACCACTAACCTACTGCAAGGCCTCAGTACATAAAACTATCCTACACCTGCACATAGATCTCCATAAGGCCGAGACGTGAAATGTAGAAGCTTCCAAGCGGAAGCAGATTGTAATTTGACTGCTCTCGCTCGCTTGCTTACTGCCAAGCTGCCTTGCAATGCACTATCACCCTACCTGAAGCAATGAGAGAACTCGCAAGCCTTGTTCTGCGTGTAGGTCCGTCCCATGGTGTCGCTCTCAAACTCAGGAAATTCAGGCTGCCAGCCTGAGTGATTCTGCAAGTTGGAGGTGGGTCGCTCACATAAAAAAGTCCCCCTCACCTTCTCATGGAACGTGTCAGAGACTGCAATAAATCTACGAGCAGGCAGGCTAAAATCCAAGCTCAACTGCAATGAATTCTCCAGGCCTATGCAAACAGAAATTCACAGCGCTCGAGCTACGTAGCCGTGAAGACATGACTCAAACCACAGCAAGTCTCGATGGACCTAGTCTTTCAGATCAGGACTACATCCGGACAAAATGATGAATTTGGGGCATGTTTGAACAAAGCAGACGCTTACACCTTCGAGAGCCTGGCTCTTTCGCTCCTGCAAAGCCTCTGCCGCGGTCCTCGCCAAGTCAACGTTCTTGCTGGCAGCTGTGGCGCAACGCAAATCCTAAAGCCATGCAGGAGCTTACGCAGCTCACAAACGCTTTAACATGTCACGAGCTTGAACCTTTCAAGCCGTGCCGTTTGGCAGAGTTAGGTCACTGCGAGCAGTTACTGTGAGCAATCATCTCGCAACTGTAACGCTCGACCATCAGCTTGCCTCCTCGAATCGGGGGCCACGGGAAGCTCCAGGAGTGCATAGTCACGTGCTTGCAAGGCCTTCTGCAGAGCTGCGGCAGCATGCGGCAGCGTTACGAATCTAAGTGGAAACGTCTTCAGTACTTTAGCGCCAGGCCTGCATGATCCTGTGCGTTTACAGCAAGCCAGTTTCAGAAGCGGCTTCTCAGACAAAACCTGATGAGGGACATCGTCAGGAAGTAAGGTTCAGCATCGGGTCTGCACTCTTCGCAGGTCCCTCAGGTCCTAACCTTTAAGATACTGAGAGAATTCTGAGGGACCGAGTGAAAGAGCAGACACTCTTGATCCCAGTCAGAGAACCGTGTTGGACCTATCAAACTGCTCAATCCAATGTCACAGCCGGCTTCAAGATGAACATCCGACGCCTCTAGCACCTGCGCCAGATCCTCGCGCGTGATTTCCATCGCGCAGATGATTTCGTGGCTGGGTATAGTTTGAGTGCATGTACTGGAGGATAAAAGCACCCCCGGATGAACCCTCTATACTGCATACCTGCCGGAAGGTTGTGAGACAGCAGTCTGCCAGCAATGGCAGGTCCTAGAATGGCTTTGAGTGCGTTGGCTACAGTAAGGTCCTGAGGTCAAGTATGGGTACCGGATACCGGATGTACCGGCAAACGCCCCAACTTACTCTTCAATGAGACTGCTGAACACCCACTAACCTGCCAAACAGGAAACTAATTATGCATGATTTTGGAGAGCTTTCCTTCCTAGTTAGGCCCAAAGTATGATGGTGTTTGCATGAGAGCCAGGAGCGACTAAATGTGTACCAGGCCACGACCTGGTATGCGGAGATCACTGTCAAACTCAGACGCACGAAGCTGCCAAATGCAGAGACTGAGCCCTCTCTGTAATGGAAGTCCGTTATAGTGATTTTAGTGAGTTCTGATGGAAATTCCAAGTGCAGGAATTGGCCCCGCACTCTACACATGAGTTGCAGAACCTATGCAGCAGCTAAAAAACATGTGCAGGATGATCTTAAGGCACCTCCGACCTTGGCTAGATTCCTTGTCTGAAAACTGAAGAAAGCCAGCAGAAATCACCGAGCCGTCAAAGAATGATCTGAGGGGTAGCAAGCCACGAATGTCTTCAAGGCCATTCGTTTCTCAATCGATGCGTCCTGAAACGAATCTTTTGGAAAGATACAAACTGAAGGCTTTAACAACAGGAAACAAGGCTTGATCCTCCACAGCTGTCTCAGAAATGGTTGCTAGGCATGACTTTCTGGGCCTGACTGTTTAGCATGTCAAGCAAAAAAAGCGAAGATCAGTCACCATGCACGTCGGGCAATGTTCAGAGACCTTTTTGCGGGACGTGCGAAGCTGAATTTCGGCTGCGGGGCTGGTTCACACACATTGTCATGATCCATCCCACGCTTGGCAAACGTTCGGCGGCTGGGTGTATCTACACAAGGTTCATGCCACAGATATCCAAGACAACTACAGGGTATGCACGGACATATGAGCTAAAGCATCGGTGATGTTTTCAAGCGAGGCACTTGTTGAAAAAGCAGATGCTTTCACAGTTGGTAAATGTGGCTATGCAGGGTTGCTTGCTACAGCAGTGCCTCAAGCGGCGCTTTCGGACCCCGCGATCCTTCCAACAGCTCGCCAATCTATATAAGGACCTGACGATCAGAACAACAGCAACTGATTCGCGTGCGCCAAGCTGATGACTTGCCATGCACGTCGGGCTCGCCTTCTTCGTACTTCTAAGGAGCGCATTTCTTGGATTGCAGGGAATTTGTCCGAAGTGCTCGCTGTAAAAATGCAGTAAACCATTAGATCAAGGATCAAGCCTTCCCAGCCTGCTGGGATACTGGCTCTGTAGCATGAACAAGCTCTGGCTTCTGCAGTCTGCTATGCGCCCTCGCAGTCTTGGTTCCAGAGATTCTGGCTCCAATGGAGCTGATCCAGAACCCGTTGGCTGCGATCATGTTACTTTAGCGTCTCGAGCGAAGGATCCTCAACATAAAGCCCCTGTTAGGATTTGTGAAGGCGCCGGACGTCCTAGATCAACATGCTGAGTTCTGCTTGTTTATTGCCTCGTACAAACTGAATGATGCCAACACAGCGCTGACATATTTCTGTGCAGGAAATCCTAGTGACAGCTCTGATGCTGATGCTGACAGCCTTTTGCTCTCGGAAACCGTTAGGACAGTGGAGAACCTAGGGACCTAACTATTGGGATCGCTAGACTGTGCCCACGGTTGCGTCCCTTCGTTCCCCATTCCTCAGGCCAGCGTGATGGCGTGCTTGCCGTCCTTCAGTTTGATGTTGTTCCTTGGCAGGCGTTGGCGGCAACACCCGCCCCGAAGCAAATACTTTCTGGGCATGCGGATAAAAGGGCCCACAGAATCCCACAAGCATGAGGGCCTCGCATTGTGAAATGAGCTTCTCCAACCTTTCCAGCTTCCTCTTTATTAACCAGCTGAAGATTCAAAACAAAAAATCTCTTGAAGGTACCTCCAGATCACAGCACATCGCTATGAGGCGACATGCTTGAACATTCCCCCTACATCATTCTCAGCCAAGAAAGAATATGCTGTATCTTCGGAAACATGAGAACAGTAGCGCACGTTGGATGGGTCATGACTGAATTCCAACCCTCTCCTGAGAAGAATGAAAGTGTAGCTGTAGCTTCGTGGAGTGAGGCATCTGATACTCATCTTTCGATGGGACTTGCAATGAAATCGAACGTTCTTCTTAGCAAATTCTGCAGGGTACTTTTCTGCAGAGAAGGGGCAACATCGCGACACACATGTGCTCTGAAAGACTTATGACTTCTGTGCCAGGGCAGGAGAAACATAATGGCATCTGAAGTTGCGCCTGACAAGTCGATCACGAGGGCACCCATACAAAAGACGACTATCAAGCCAACGCTTAGGTCCCGGCTTCTCAGCTAACAGGGCGATCCATGTCTCCATCTCCTCCTCGGACCCTACCTGTCCGATGCAGTCAGTCTGGCAACCAACCTCCGATCAAAGCATCTCTGACTTTTCAGGGATCCTGAAGAAGGCCACCCAAGGCTTGACATGCTCAGGGCCTTCATCTGCAGAGGGGGGAGGTTCAGCTCCTGGAAGCGTCCATCCTCCATCAGCCTGCCATTACCAGGGCAGCGTTCAGCAATTGAGTTTGGCTCTTAGGGCTCAACAACAGCCACAGCATCTACCGCATCATTCGTTTAACTTAGGCTAAACGGCTTAGAGGTGATCAAGGCTGGCCCAAGTTTCCCGCAGCCCTGAGAAATCAACGCACTCTTGGCACACCACCCAACGGAACGCTGTACATAAAATGCTGCAACTGGCGCGGCCAAGTGAAACTTGTGAACAAATCCTCGAGGTGTTATCCGCGAATCAACATGGTACGCCAACTCGCCGAAGTCTTCTGGGACAAGTCTCCATCATGCCGTAAAGTGATGAAGTTCTCTCACGGCATCAACTGCACAATGATTACACTCCTCATCGGATCTGTGCACTGACAGGTGCATGGGCCTTGCTTCAAAAAAGAATTCAGGCCCAGCAAAGGCCTCACCCAACTGGGGGACTAGCATTCATTAGCTCAACCACATGAGGAACACTCACGAGATGACAGAGTGGCTCTCCAGCTGCGGAAGCTGCAAGCTAGAAATGCATGGTCATCCTATCCTGCTACACTTTTCATCTTACCACTGGGAAACGTTTCATCAAAGCAAGACAGGAGAAGGTGTTTTGCCAGCATGACTTAGCCCAAGTCCAAAGACCCTCGAAGCTGTTTCAGTGCAAGTCTCAGCAAATCGCGTCCGACACATTTATGTGGACTGCGTGTGCTTTTTCAACTTGAGGACCCATTTTTTGTACGAGTAGACAATTATGTTTGGGCTCGTATGGGGAAGGCTCAAATCAATGTGTGATGCCGGTACATGCTTAACACAACATGCAACTTCAAGTTCTTGCAGGATGCAGAGCCAGACAAAGGGGGGCCAAAGTCTAGTGCAAACAGATGTGTCCAGCAGTCCCGCACGGCTGCATTGTAACTTAGGGTTCATGCGAACACTAAGCGACACAGAGCGTCGCTTAGACTCAGAACTCTTGAACCTTACAGATGTCATCTCATGATCCGTGCAGCGGTAGCGCGGATAAGCCCTGATGCTCCCGTGTGAACATGGCAGCGCAGGAGCTCAGGAGCTCAGAAGCCCAAGAACGAGAAGAAGCTCGGCTTCCTGACTGCAAAGCTGCTCTGGCCTAACTGCTGGCAACTGCTGGCAACTGGGAATCACAGCCCTTCAAGGCATCATGCCTAAAGACAATCTAACAATTCAAGCAGGTCCAACATCCCAGATCAACTTGTAGCCTTCTCCACAAGATTATGCAAACCGAGTTGTCACCTTTTCTTGGATTTTGGATGTAGGCTCCGTAGCTATTGGTTTAGAGCTTAGAGTTTTTTCAGGGATTGGGCGAAGTTGGGTTTCAGGGCCAAACTTGGGTGGTTTGCGAATTTCGTGAAAAAGACGTTGCGATGAAGGGCCAGGGTTGAGGCGGAGAATTCTAAGGACAATGGCCACGGGAGGTTGTGGGTGGTTTTCAGTGACGAAACTGCAATTCTATATTGTTTTCGGCGCTCGCTTTTGTGCAAATGGGGTGTGTCTGAAAATAGTGGCTGAGCCAGCATGTTTTTTGGTGGACATGAACCTGAATTCTGCTAGCAGGCGATCAGCACCGCACTGCAAGGCCTCAAGCTTGCTGTGTATGAAAATGCATTCCAGGCTGCTTGTTGCAAGGAAGACCACGCAGCGGTACGAAGACCGTTCCAGGGCTCCCTGGTCCACTTATTTTCAAGGGGGGTTCATGTGTCCGCACTCCCCACAAAAGCACGACACTCAGAGGGGTCCTGGCCTTGAATTGTGCTTCATCATGGTGCAAAAAAGATATTCTGGCTGTGTATGCCGAGTGCTTGTTCACACGCGCACTCCCTGTGCTGAAGGATGACGTGCCACTATGTTCCTTACCGAATTACTTTTTTAGTTGGGGAGCCAACCCGGAATTCCCTACACTAGCCATGCCGCATTATAGATCCTTCAGCGCTTTCGCAGACATCTCATTCAAGTTCAAACACTCGCGAAGAATGTTTGTAGCAAGCAGACCCAGCCCAAGCCTTTTTTTCCTCTTAAAGATTGCCAACCAGAACAAACTGCCCAGAATCTGCGCTTGAAGCAGAACCCGTTCCGAACTCGGGGCCTTCCGTCACATCCACGGGGTCCAATCGAACCACCAGACCACCCTGCGGCACAAGCATGCTGCGTGCACTTGAAAAAAAAGATGGTCTTTGCAACCTGGTCGCGCCTGGAGATTTCAACTGTGCAGCTTTGCTCAAGTATCTGTACAAACAACTATGGTATATTGGGGCTATATTGGGCCTCCCACTTACTATGGAAACCTTCATCACACAATGCCTTGGAAGTTGTGCCGCTCTCGGCAGCCACACGCGCGACGCCCTCCACATGCATCTCTGGCGCGGAGTTGTAGTCCTGTCTTGGCTCTGATTCCGAGGCTACAAAGGAAATTGAGTACTGCGTTGCCATCAATGGTCTAGAATTACTCGTTGAATGTTCTAAGGTTGGGGTTCCATGGTCTTCTCTTCGTAACTTGGACAGTACGCGCAGCATTCCGACAAATCCCCTGCCCAAGATAGACAACCAACAGTCTGCATTCCAAAAGCATCTGGCAATCAACGAGCCCCATCATCAAGCCTGCCGTGCTGGACCAATACATGCCATCTATTTGAATCGCCAAGCAGACCAGGATCTGGCCAAATATCCAGTCGTTCCCGCATGCTGGGATGTCACAACGGCCTCCGAAACAAACCAAAACACTGACACAACTGCGCTCCCCACCACTCCCCATCCTTCCCCCAGCCACCCCGCTGCCTCAACACCTCGGCCCAGCCATGGCATGTCATCCTTCTACCTCGCCCAAAGCCAAGGCTGACACGTGCTAGCTTTTGAGATTGCCGGACCAAAACAACTGGGCACAAAGCTAGCAGCGCTGGAAGTCTGAGAAAGACCTTTGGATTTGTGTGTACACCAGGCACAGCTCTTCTAGCGGGTCCGACATCCAGGCTTTCATGTGCTCCGCGTTCATGTCCGGGTTGTCACAGACGTTCCTCATGTAACCAATTCAATTGTTAAAAAGAGCATATCTGGACGCGTCACTGTGACTGTTGGATCCTTTTTTGGTGAAGAACCAACAATGCTCTGACTTGCGAAGCTTCCAGGCCCGCACTCGGATATTTGCTTCACATGGATGCTGCAAGAAGCCCTGCGCATTCAACACTCTGGATGTCCAAAAGATTCAAGTGACTCGAAATGAACAGTAACCCAGCAACTTGCAGAAGCATTATGGTACGGTGCTGCCCTGCCAAAAATCATTTGGGTTGCTGTCAATATTCCTTCTTCCAGGAACAAAAATCATGGGCCGCCTTATGACGACAAGGAAAAAGGAGGTCTGGAATGATGGCTTTGGCAAATATAGGAGAGTAGTTATTGACTCTTGTACCCTATGCAAAAACCTCACAAAACACACTAGCGCCTTCATCTTGTGATCACCGAAGGTGGTTTCCCTCTATATTTGCGAGCACGATGGCAGCGAAAACCTCGCGCATATTTCGCCTCATGATTTAGATTTTTTGGGCACGCTGGCAATATGCATTTGGAGCAAACACCGCGACGCATCTAGACATTTCATTCTCTGGGACTAGAAAAGGTTTGAGATCGGTCCTTGATGTACGAATTCCCTCCTCTCGCCAAACCATGCCCTCGATGCCAGCCACCCTAACCTAAAAGCTGACAGGCTAGTTTTTCGCACATAACATTCTTCAGCTCATATATCATGTCATCTTTGGAATCGATACCATAGGCCTTGTGATCAAGGGAATACCCAGCGCCGCGCTAGCGCTATCCTAGCGCCACGGGGGGAAAGACCGAAACCTGCATATTGCGCCTGGTGCCGCGTTTTCTAGCGAAGACCAAACCGCCGAGGCGGAACCCTGATATCGCACTTCCATCATATTCTCCATACATGGTATTTTGACGTCAGCCCATTTATCTGATTCAATGATTGGAAGCCCCCTTTAGGACAGGCACTACGCTCAGGCGTGGACAGTCAGCATTGCATTTCATTCAAGACCCTTCTCCAGGTTGCGCTGCGACGCACACCAGTTACAGCAGGTGTCAGCTGTTCTAGAAGGATGACAATACGGATATAGATAATGCGGGTATCAATGACGGAAAGCGAGCCAAGCGCAAGCTGGACATCACGAAATGAAAGCTTCGCGGGGCTGGGCTTAGGAGGTCTGGGTGGACTTGCATGATCGGGTCAGTCCTTGAGCTGAGTCTCAGATGGACGTGGCGGATCCCGGGCAGGGTCTGGGATCAATTCTTCGAAGAATGCTCCGAGCTGTACGCAGTATTGGTGCGCTACGTTTTTTGGTGCTCGCTTGGGGGTCATTGCGGAACAGCTTAAAGGTGTTTGGTGCCAGTGTTTGCCGTGTTGTTGCAACGTTTTACCAGGTGGTTTTTGCGGTGTTTTTGGGCGGGGCGAGGGCAGGGTTTTTGTTGTAATTTGCATGCCTCGGGATCAGTTGAGCAAAGCCTCTGCTGGGCTGAGCACCTGAATGCACCCCCTCTTCGTGCAGCAAAATATTAGTGCTTCTTTTGAGTGCAGTTGGAGGCCTTGTAGTGGTGCATTAGAATTTCAGTGCTCGTTTGGGGAACCTTATGAACAGTTTTAGCAGCTTTTCGGCCAGCACGGTTTTGGTTCTGATTTGCATGCCTTGGGATCAGTTGAGCAAGGCCTTTGCTGAGCTCAGTGCCTGAATGAACCCCTTCCACGTGCACTACGATTTTAGTGCTTCTCGTCAAGTGCATTTGGAGGCCTTGTGTTGGTGCACTAACACTTTAGTGCTCGTTTGGGAGTCTTTTGAACAGGTTTAACAGGTGTTTGGTGCACACATTTGTATTTTTGTGCGAGGTTTTACCAGCTTATTGAATTGGGCGGTGTTTTTGGGTAGCACGGGGCAGGGATTTGGTTGTGATTTGCTTGCTTCGGGAGCTCGCTTTCCGAGCGTCCACCCTGGTCTGCAGGATCGAAGTGCAAGCGGACGTTCACAACAGCTTCCCGGATGTTCCTTCAGCTTTCTGGCGAGCATCTGAAAAATTTGACAGCGGCGCAGCGCATGCGGCCACATATTTCGCACCTAAGCTACGTCAAGTGGTTGAAAGTGCTTCAAACCAAGGAACCTGAAACATGATTCGCAGAGCGCAGCTTACTCCTCTACACAAGCTGAGACAACCAGATCCCGCACTCTCAAGCAAATAGGCTGGCCTGCGACTAAAGCCCTCGAATTCACGTAGGTGCTTCTCTGTCAGCTCTCGCAGCCAGGAGAATAGATGCATGCCACAACACAATTCTGCCCTAATCTGCAAATGTCAAGCCCACGACACAAAGAGTATAGCCCTAAGCTACTGATTAGACCTGGATATGTGGACGTATACTTGTTGTCACAAGCAACACTCCGCAGCGCCCAGCCAGCGGGGGATGTGCGGCCAATGAACCTCGAGCAGGCCGAAAAACACCATCATGAAGCATGCTAGGGTTCTGATTGGCGCATAGGATTAGATTTTGTTAGGATTTCGAGATTTTCGCACGCTCACAGCTCGTAACCTCTAGCTAGGCCTATGCATTCTGTATTCCGGCTAGTGGCATCACAGCCCGGTTGCCACAGAGTGGCTCCACGCCCTGGTGACCTGCACTTTTTTCACATGACATGAAGCCAAAGGGATTTAGGATACCTAAGAGGATTAGAACCAACCATGAGCTCCTCATCACTCTCGTAAAAGATTCACCAATTTTCTGATTGACGGGGGATGGATTGGCCTTAATTGAATGCAGCGCACAGTGTGTGCGGTTTGAAGGCAGGGCTTTGTCACATCCTCAGTTTCTCAGGTTCAGCGTCACTTCCCTGAGCTATCGAAAATTGCCCCAGGTGCTTCAACCTCAGTGCCTTGACTTACACTCTGAGGGAATCCCAGAACCTGGCCAGGGACCTTGGTGAATCTCCGAGAGCCGGTCCGAGAAGGCCAAGTCCGGGATCTTCCCCCAGGCCTCGCCAACAGTTCGAATTTCTCAGCATTGGCATGGCCAACCCGGTATTATCCGGTATTCAAACCCCAACACGAATAAAAAAGGGCCACATTCAATTTTGGAAAACTCAGCAGCTTCGAAGAGGTGAGCTTGAGGGGACTATCAAGGCGGAAATGCTTTCTGGCAGCAGGGCCTGACGTAAGACTTCCAGACATTTGACTCTTGGCAGAAAGTGGTCTCTTAGACAACAAGCTCCCAGGCCATCGGCTTTGCCTCCTTCACCACCTCTGGAAATTCTTCTCGGGAGATGGTTCCAGAAGAGTCTGTGTCCTTCCTGGGCGCAGTCATGTTTTTTCCGGAGCGACTACTTTGCACAGCTTCCTCCGTTTAACGGGTAACAAACACTCAAAAAACGCGGCGAAATCCTGGACGGTGATTTGCCCATCTGCGTCATCTCTACCAAGAACCCAAGCCCGTTCAAACGCGGCAGCGGCTCCTGTGGAGGATGTCCTGGATGCTGCCATCGTCCCAAGCAAGGCCGATTTCCCGCAGCGCATTTTGCAGCTGCACCTCGTGACGGGAGCTTTTGCGTGGAGATCACAATTCATCAAGAATCCAAGAACTTAGCTCGGCTTGGTGGAGACAAAGAGGCAGAGTTCTGGGGTATCGCCTCGAGCTTGAATCCCTGGACATAGCACAAGGCCGAGCAAAGGGACGCAGATCACCCCACAGCTGCGCTTGAACTGACTGAAAGACCTCGACAAGTTCTTGCTGCCCCATCGTCCTGCCTTATCTAAGCTGCCAGAGCTGTCAGCCTTGGTTCAGGGAAGGCAAAGCACTTTGAAGTTGCTACTGCACTGCTGCCTCCGGCTTTCAGGCATGGAGATTGCACAGCTCCACGCTTCATATATACGGCTTCACCAACTTGTAAAGAACAACTGCAGCCTTCTACAAGCAGAACTCGGCGGAATGTTTGCGCTTTGCTACTGATGTTTGGTGTTCTCAAACACCCTGCATGATCATATCACAAGACTGCCTCTTCAAGGCCTTGCACTCACTGAGCTGACATCAGCTGAATCCAGCTGACATGCAATGTGTGACGTCCAGTAGAGGCCCTGAAATGGCGGATGGCGTGACTTCTCGCTGGGGGTCACTTGTGACTTCTCAGTTTGCTCAGTTTGGGCTGCTTGTGACTTCTCACGTTTTGTCCTCCCAAAATGCAGAACTGTCGTCGTTTTCGGAGCTGCGATTCCTCGACGCTTGACAACATCCCAGCTCAGGCCAGTTTGCAGGGAATCTGTTCCTGCAATTATTTCCCGGAAAAGCAGGCTCCGACTGAAGACGGGCAAACCGCAAACATTGGCCCGGATTCGTTGAAACCGTAGCCCCTAGCCCTGTCAACCTCGATCCAACCCAAGAAACTAGGCCTAAACCCTAAAACCTGACCGCTAGCCCCAGACCCTAAACCTTCCCTAAACCCTAACCCTACCCTAAACTTTGAGCCTGTGAACCAACCTCAACAACCATAAACCTCACCCGAAAAAGACCCCCCCTTTGATTCCTGCACCACTAACCCTAAACTCTGAACTCTGACCCTGGAGTGGAGGTCCCCTATAATGTGTTTTCGTGGCCGAGTTATTCAGGACCTGGGCAATGATTTGAGGTCCCCTATAATGTGTTTTGATTTTGGGGCCCTAAAAATATAGGAAGGATTTTCAACAATCCCTTTTAAATCAATCTACAGGGACCTCAGTACCGTGGGAGCTCAGGGGAGCCGTATTGAGGGCCCTCTAATTTCTATTTTTCGGAGGGCCCTAATGTTAGGTAGGGGGGGGGGGCCCTACTTATTAAAGAGGGTCCAACATTAACCGTCAACTTAACCCTAAACTCCTGAGCCCTATGAAACCGTAAAAGAAAAAAAAGGATAAATTCGGAAAACCCTATAACACCTAAGAGAAGGACTCACAAGCATAGCCTTCAAATCACTACCCGTAAGCCTTGAAACCTAACCCTGGACTCCCAGAAAAGCAGGCTCCAACTGAAGACGGGCAAACCCCAAACGCTTATTCGTCGAAACCGTAGCCCCTGGCCCTATCGGCTTTATCAACAACCCTGAACCCAAACCCTAAGCCCTAAATCCTGCATTCCTAAACCCGAAACCCTGCACCCCAAAGCCCCGAACCCTAAACCCTGACCGCAACAACCCTAAACCCTGAACCTGAAAGGGCTCCGCCTATGATCCCTGAGCCACGAAGTCTCAACCGTGAAGCCTAAGCCTGCACTGTATACATTTGACCTGAACCCCGAAAACCCTAATCTCCCCGAAGAGATCCCAGCCATTTGTCAATGAAAACATGTATGCATAGATTTTTGGGAAATGGTGCTCCACCTGCAACACCCCACAACACGAAAAACTGCAAACATTGGCCCCGAAAACATCCCAGCTCAGGCCAATTTCATGGAAAACATTGATGCGGCTATTTCCCGAAAACACAAGCCACCTGAAGACAGACAAAACTCCAAACATTGGCTCCAAGTCGTTGAAGCCGTAGCCCCTGACCTTATCAGCTTCAATCCAATCCCTAACCTGATCCCCCGAAACCCCAGCCCAGGCCAGCTTTCAGGAAAATATTCATGCCTTTGTTTCCCGGAAAAATGTGCTCCAGCTGCAACACTCCGCAAACCTAAAAGCTGCGAACATTGGCCCCGAAAACATCCCAGCTCAGGCCTAGTCCATCACCCTCAATCCCCTACCCCTCAGTCGTGAACCTAGTCCACATCCAAAAACATAGATTCCCTGAACCTAAACCCGAGAAATGCAGAACTGTCGTCGTTTTCGCAGCCGTCATTCCTCGACTCTTGACAGTTGCATGTGTATGCTCCTCATAAAATCCAAACCATAGAACCATACTAAAATCGATACAGTCGCAGGCTGTCAAAGCTGAATGCAGCTCAATCTGTAGATGAGCCATGCCGAACTGTTATCGTTTTCGGAGCTGATTCCAAATTTGCATGTTTGAGGAGTCGCAAGTGACCCCCAGCAGAAGTCACAGGTAACCCTCCTCTGGCAAAGTCAAGAGTGACCCCCAGGAGAAGCCTCAACTGACCCCCCCTCCCCGGAAATTTTCTCAGTCGAGTCCAAGCAGCTAGGTTTCTTGAAGTGCTGACTGAATCAAGCATATTCAAGGGCCAAAATAAACTTGCAACCACAGGGCAACCGGACCCCTAAACCTGCGCACGCACAAAATTCTGCACGAAATTCTGCAGGCAGACCTTCAAAACCAACTATCTCGACCCGAAGCTTGCAAGATCTGGCAAGGAAAGTCGCTCACGCGGGCATGCATACATGAAAATAGAGCGTAGCTGTTGACGTTGGCTACCCCTAAAGCACGAAAACCAACGAGAATTAAACAACTTGATTTTAGGCTCCTCTCTGCTGAGATCTGTCAAAGCACATCGAAGCGGTCGAACAACTCTTCAATGAACTCGGCCCGACGCTTCCGCTTGCCTCTGCTAACTCCATAGGCCCACATGCCAAACTCACCCATCACTGCAGGCAATCCTACCATCCTTGCCCAATACCACCAGAATCCAGAATCTAGAAGCGATCACCAAAACGCATGAAAAGCCATGGCACGATCATAGACAGCCTCGGTTGAAGCCAAGCGATGAAAATTGGAGGTAACTTGAAGCACTCCAACTTCGCCAGGGCGCTCGTCGCTCTTCCAGCGGCAACGATTGGAATTCTGGGTATCTCAGAGTCATCATGCAGAATTTGTCCTGAGCATCATGTTCACCGCTTCCACGCTCGAAAAAAGGGAGTCAGCATCCTTGCGGCAAAGCGTCGGATCTCTCATAGCCCAGTGCTGGCACATCATGATACCTCAGATCATGTCTAGCGGGTCTTGCCACTAGTTGCCAGGTACAGAATGCAAACCTGTTGTATTGTGATGCTAGAAGCTGGAGCTTACAGGAAATTGGCACAAACTCAGATCTCCCAAGACGTAAGCCCAGGACGGTGCGATTGTAAACTCCAGCTCGGAGGAAGACCAACGACCCGCGCACCCAAGCCCGCGCTGCTTGGCCAGGAAGGCGGCACGCCCCTCGGTCTCTAGGCAAACGTCTCATGGTCTCCAGCCATTTTGTCATAGCTCCAAATTTGCCGTGCAGACTTTGGGATTTGGGTACGGGGGCTTAAGTACAGGAGTCAGGGTTTGGGGTTTGTGGGGTTTGGGATTGCGTGCTAAGTAAGCTATGGATTCATGGTTCTGGAGGCAAGACCAACAGGGACCAGATTGATGAGCTTTGCACAGCATCAAACACGCTGAAGCCCTGCACTCTGCACTTGACCTTTTCGATCATGCCAAGCCACCAGCCCGCGGGTTGTGGCCAGCATTCTGCCCTAAGGGCCCCCGTGCAGGGGGCACAAGTAATGAAGAGGCGATGCGTCTGGAGCCAAGGCCAAGCAGACACAAGCCACTGACTGCAAGTAATCTGTGGTGCATCTCGGAAGAGCCAGTGCGGCTTCGCATTGTGATACTTCCAGGGAACGGCCTGGTGATCCAACTTCATACAACCTGTCCTAGGAGGATATCAATCTCAGCGTTCCGTTCTCGAGGTGGCAACTTGGGTTTGCCTTGTGGTCTCATGCGCAACCCTGCAAACACAGGAAGACTATCAGCTTTGTGCCCTTTAAGCCGCAAGAATCCAGCTTACACAGCAATCAATGCCCGAGCTGCAGCACGACAGGGATGTCACCGATCGCTCGACCGTCATCGTGATTCCCTTCGCAGGGAAAACCCTGGGACCCACGCGTCTCTATGTCCCCGAATCTAAGCCTGGGCCGTGGCCCGAGGGCTTTGAAGAACGACAGTAAGCAATGCCCTGAACAAACAACATCAACAGGCAGCCTAAAGAAGCTGATTTAGCAGCTCTGCAGAGCATTGTGGGGCAAGCCCATGTCGCAGGATAGACCAAACTGATGTCTTGGTAGCTTGGACTTGTACTTCAGAGCTAGTCATCTAGTCTGGGTGAGTACACACTCAAAGGGCCAGCCTTCTGCCTTTGGCCGGTAAGGGTTTGCGCTGAAGGTCCCGACAGTCAGGCTGCATGTCTCGCGATCAACCTTGCCATGTTTGGTTCTTCCAGGCTTTACGAAATGACCCAAAAATTGAGCAAACTTCAAATTACAAATATCAATAGGTTCATGCTCCTCTACTCTGAGCACAGCAGCTCTCTAAGCAATCTACAAAATGTGAAGGATTACTCCATGAAGGTAAGGCCCGCACGTCGATCACGTGCAGTAGCCTGGCGGGCACAAAATGTTGATGTGCACCCCGAATCCGTTGGCCTCTAGGCGGCTAAGAATTGCTTTCTCAGGATGCAGACATGACAAAGCGAATCCCGACACCGGAGCAGGCCTGACATCAACCTTGGGATTCCAGAAACGATGAGGGCAGCGCACACTTTCACTTACCATGATCGGGGAGCATGTCAGCTATGGCTATAACCCTGCTTTTCACTGAACCCGGCGTGTTTCGTTTCGGAGTCCTAAGGAACTGGCCGGCCAATCTCTGCCATGAAAGGTGGTTTAGGCACCGGACCACCGCGTGAGGCGCCGCGAGGTCAGAGGTGCCCTGCAGCGCCCGACCAGGGGGCCTGCAATGGACTGCAATGCACAGCATGCACAGCATACTGTTAAATAAGTATTTGGAGAGAGTTTGACCACAATAAGGAAGTATACGGGCGATGAGCAGAAGAAGACTGTGGGACATGATATCTCTCTGAATGGATCCTTTCTGAGGGTTCCAGCTGCCACCACTCTACCACTAGTGACTTGTACTCCTGCTACTAGAGCTACTGCTACTGCTTTTACTGCTTATACTGTTACTGCTGCTCGGCTGCTGCTACTGCTGCTACTGCTGCTACTGCTGCTACTGTGGCTACTGTGGCTACTACCCTCCCCCCTCCAATTCCCTTCCTCGACCCACCCCCCCTTCCACACGCGAAACTACCAGGCGATAAACAGCTGCTGGCCGGACTGCAATCAAATCCTGACAACGAACCTGAAATTAAAGAGTTGAAGGAGCCCTTTATGTGAATGTTGTGAGCTACGCTGATACTCGGTTGTCTGCAGCTGCGGGTCTGCCACAAAGTCATCGGAAACAACAGCACATGCCTGCCTGCAAAGACATGAGATCTGATGATGAATGTGGTAAAGCTATACACCCTTACAACCACCTTTGGGCAATTTCATGGCAGCATACAAGTCTGAGCCTCAAGCACTTACACGATGAAACGTCAAGCTTCATGACTGAGTTCACGACAGCGAGGAAAACAGAAGGCAAATGCTGCACAAGCTGGCCCACACCTTTGGAAGCAGATGGCACGTACATGACTTTGAATTTGTTAGCGTGTCGACCCTTGGACTCTTACCTTGCTGGTCAAGCTCTTCAGTTTGCCACAAAGTCTTGTGAAATTATCCTTGTAGGCTCAACCTGACCAATCCGATCAAGCACACAGCCCGCGCATCCCAGACATACTGCAGTCCTCAGCGGCAGCAGCAGCAGCAGCAGCAGCAGCGGGAGCAGAAGGCAAAGGCAACAAGAGTGCCCTCAAACAGCAACCACCGCCACTGCCACCTGTGCTACCCCTCCCAATGCTCCCCGACTACCGTTGCACTGAGTGCCCTTACCCAGCCACTCTCAGGTGGCCCAGGCGACATGCCAGGCCCTGCGCTGGCAGCTGCCTGGAGAAATTCTCTCCAAAACTGAAAGCGACGGCGCTCGCCCAAGTTGACAACTATAAGTCACACGAGAGTTCTCAACCATTGAACCAGATCAGGTTGCAAGCATGTGCAACCAAAACACACTGTAGCAGAATTTGTCTTTGTGTAAGATCTGACAACCACCCTTCCACTGTGCTAGCTTACTTGAAGAGGCGCTCTTTGGTAACAGCTGTTCATACTATAAGCAGGCAGTTGCGTCGTATCGCTGGACGTGCTTGAGTGTATCTAATTTCTAAGTTTGATATAAGAATGTCTTCAAAACATAGAGTTCAGAAGCTCTTGCCACAATACCATGAACTTTTAGTTTTGTTCGCTTCCAGCGCGGACTACTTGAAAGTCGCAGGTCTGCAAGATGCCCATCTGAATGAGTTCTGCGAAATTTCTGGAATGTATGGACCCCTTTTCTTCTCAGAATTCGGGTTGACTTCAGCCTGCCGAGCTGATTGGCCCTTGTATGTGCTTGCGAGCCAGGCCTTGCGCAGCGCCTCCATGGCTGGCTCCCCGGCGGCTGGCGGGTCCGTACCCCCCTGACACTGCGACATGAAAGAAAAAACCTGAAGCGGACTCCTCATGATCTTTCAACGTCAATGCAGGTGTAACACCTTGCAAGTGCCTGGTGATCCGAACCCAGCGTCTCGCTGCCGGGCCGGACTTGTGCCGAGCCGATGATGGGCCTGGCATGCTACAGCCAAGGTGGCATTCCTGCCTGATGTCAAGTCATCACTTCAGGTGCTGGACGCAAGTTGTGACACAGTACCGCCAGCGTACCGCCTGCAACTCCTCTCAACGTTCTTGCATTTGGAAATGTTTTTGAAGCACTTTGAGGCCTTGGCCGACGCTCAGCAGCCCAGACACACAACTCCACTTTTGTCCAACCTGGAGCCCTCCAGATTGCCTCATCTCCTCAATATAATGTGGCAAAAAAAGGCAGATAGGGACGCCAACAGGGTAAAAAAGAAATTAGCAGAATCCCTTGATGTTCCTCAATATTCAGCAGACCAAGGTTTGACAAGATTTTGAGAAGGCTATAAATAATTGCTCATCTGCGCCCACGTGAATGTGTGACAGCAGCAGTCACAACCCGGCCAGCCACACAAGTGGCAGTTGAGCTGCACCCAGCCCTCTGCCTGACAAGGACGAAAGATGAAGCCAGTCCACTGCTCAGGGCCAGAAATCCAATATATCCTATGCAACGAAAGGGAACTTAATAGACATCTCAACCCTCCGATTCCGGACTCCCGGCCTGTGCTATCTGCTGGAAAGCAGAAGGTGCATTGCCATCTGCTCCATCGGTGTCAGCCTTTCTTAATATGACATTCACAGTGACCCTAGGGCCCTAGAGCACAAGCCACTCATGCCCACACGCCAGAAGAGAGCTTGAGCGCTTGTACTTGCAATTACCCATCATCCACTGCCGTAGCATCCGCCCAATTTGTTTGGCAGGCTGGCTCATTGCACACCAGCAGCAGCCTCTATCTCCCTGCAACTACGGAACTAGAAACAGCCCAGGCGCTGACTACTGTTCCACCCAGGTCTATGCAAGCAGGCTGCAGTGCTACTCGGGAGGATGGCGAGGCTCGTCCAAAACTAATCTGGGACTACAATCCATGTTCGAAACTAGAACTGTCTTGAAAGCTTTAGGCCCGGTCATCCGACGGAGACGCTGGTGTGCGCCTGTCCTGGATGAGCGTGGTTTCAACGTACATGCCTTTAAAGGAGTATACTGGTTGCTGGGGGGATTGCAGAGAAGGCATAAACACTTAAACTGGATGTTGCAAGGCTGGTCTTGGGTTGCAGGGTAGGCACACTTGCAAAGAAAACACGATGCCGTTGCAACACAAGCATCATCTAAATAGAATAGAAACCCCAGAGTGACTCAATTCGTGTTGATTCATTGGCCAGCGCACCTGGCCGTAAGGCAACAGCTCATCCTCGCCTCACATAGCGGGCACCACTTAGCATTTGCCGTTGCAAGGGCAGAAGCCACAAGACTCTTTGCATCTAATAACAATTGCCAACGAGAGCAAAGGAACTAATCTCCTGAAGCCACAACAAGTCTGCTGCAACTCGGCTACCGACTCGAATCGCTTCCTAATCTTGACTGCCTCAGTGGACCGGGGTGCAGGGTGAGTGTTTTCTCAAAGGCAGAAAGGGCTTGCTTCCGGACCTATACAGAAAAGTTCACCTCTACAAAGGCGGAAGTTCAATTGGGCCAAGTTATCTTTGGCTGCACTTTGCAAACAAAAGCAGGCATCTGCGTCTCCTCCCTGAAGGTTGACCAGATTCCTGTGCTCCGCAATTTAGCTTGCACTCCATGGGGCCGCCCTGGCTCTCAAAGCCCATGTACCATCCCGGAATGACGTCAGCACGCTGAGCGGTAAACGTAGCACTACGCAGCGTGGGATGATGCGGAAGACATCATGACCCACCATGCCGACCCGTGCCTAACTTTGAACCCTTGGACCCTAGTTATGTTGCTCTTCAATTGCCCAGACACAAACAAAATCCTGGCGTGCTTGCTGTTGACTAAGACCAAGGCATCAATCCTGTCCGCGACGGGGTGGGGCCTCAAGTGCTGTGTCTCTTACAAGCAGCCTCCTTTGACGGGGAAAACAGTTTCAGACCGCTGCTCCGGCCAAATTCGGATGCCGAAGGACACCGCAGCACATCTTGTCAACCGAGCACAGACCCCAATCTGTAGTACAGTGGGCAGGCCAAAAAAAATCCCGCAAGCTTCCCAGAGACTTCCTGTGGGCTCCCAGCTGTAACCGACCGTCATGACCTGGGATCAGACTGAGGAAACAACAGCTCCAACCAAAACGTTGCAGGATTAGTGGCATGGTGCCGACCATCACGGCATGTTGGCGTTAGGATCTCAGAATTAGTACTGCGAGTACACCCTTACATGCCATGGTCGCGCTGCGAAGTGACTCTATGTGTTCGAGTCTAACTTACAGGAACTGCCCCTGCTTTGTGCTTGAGGCCTTGCTTGACACAAATACAAGAAGACAAGAAGACACATGAAGGGGTAGAGATCTGCATGGGCACTCGAAGCAACTACCTCCGAGCCTCGGCTTGCCAAGATAATGGCGGATGGCATGGGCAAAAATTGACACAGAAGAGAAGCAAAGCGCCTAAGGCAGCAGCCACGGACAGCTCTGGTGAAAACTTCTTGCACACGGCGTCATAAATCGGCCTCAGTCTGAACATGCCGACAGCCGAGACTTGGGTCCTAACTGCTGAGAAAGATTTCCCATCTTGCAAGAACTACAATCTCTACCATTTGCACTTGAGCTGAAGGGAAGAACGCGCAACACTCGCCACAGGGGCTAGCCTTTCCCTATCTTTCTCTTCTCTCCGTGCCATCCGCCCCAAGGAGACAGCCGCTACTCATTGCTTGCATTGCAGGATGTAAACCAAAAGCTGGAATCTCCATTCCTGTCATCTGCTGAAACAGCCAGGGCGCCGCTGGACAAATTCAGGCACATCTTTATTGATGTCCTGCTGCCCACTACCGCGCAACTTTCAGCTGCTGTGATCCACTGCTGGAAGAGACACTGCAAGCAGCAACGATAACCACCAAAACATACTAAAATGGTGGGTCCTCAAGGCCCTTGTTCATGCCAGTCCAGCTTTCATAGCTCATCTCCTGGCTCCACATCTTACAGCGTAAGAGGGGCAAACACAAGGAAAGGAAAACGAACGTAAAAGACGCCGCTGGAAGGGGTCAGTATGTAGCAGAATGCGCTCCTCTCATGCCTGTAAACTGCAAAAACGCGTGGGTCGCACCCCGGGCTCGCCAGTGCCATCGCCATGGATGACGCAATGCAGCATGACCGTGGAAAACATGAGCTGCGCCCTTGGTCAGACTATGCAAAAAGACTTGGGATACACACGGGAATCTATCTGGGGTGATTTGGCAGTTGCTAGGGGTGCGTGTTTCAAAACTTGACTGCTCATCTTCAAGGGTTTGCTATCTCTTGAGGCTCGGTGATTGGTCTGGCTTGACCTTCAAAGGAATTCTGAAAGTCTTCCTGGGCTGTTGGCCTGAGTCCGTGCACTTCCAAATTGTGTGCGAACACAGTGGTGTATGGGGTCCCACGGTTGGCCAGCATCTCACTTCCTGACAGTACTTAGCATACCCTCTGACTGCTCTCGGCTTGGGGAAACTCCTAGCCTAATGCTGTCGCGTCCTCAGATGTACTGTCAGAAGCTGACAGTAGGTGAAGCCCCAAAGTCACACTCCAGAACACCCGTGCCGGGAAAACATCTCAAACCAAAAGCAGTACAGTCTTGGATCCAGGCAACACCTGCGCACTTGAGATGTATTGCAGAAGGGCGTGCCCAACCTCGACAACATGCAAGATCGCATGCACGTGTTCGGGATGAATAGGAAATGCGGAGCCTTCTTTCTTAGCAGATTTGGAATTCAGACTGGCTTGATGAAGAAAACTGACGAAAGTACTATGCTCTTGATTGCACGGAACTACAAGTACATGAGGGCTGCTCTATGAGGTATGGCTATCTCTCGACCAGTATGTCTTTGGTTTCTTACCAGTTGATAAGGCTGACCACGTCTAATGATTCTAATGATCCAGTGAAAGCCCTGGCGGCACAAAGACTTCTTAATTACAGAGAATCTATTAAAAGCCAGTTATGGCTTCTAGCCCCGGGCAGCCTACCAGAGTCTCTGAACTTTGTGCATGTCATGTGACTCCGGTGAAAGAAACAATGTCGCCCTCAGGCCCCAAGCTTCGTCCAGTCGAGGTTTAAAGTCTGGTGTCCCAACTTTCTGTACCCTGAACCAAGTAAGGCCCAACTTGAGAACAGGAACGTAGTGCTGATCAGGAATGGGACACGTCTGCAGAAAAGGCATAGGCACTGACCCGCACCAACCGTGAGCAAGCAAGTCGGACATGTGATGCCTGTGATCTAAGATGGGCACAAGCTCCCTGTTGGAGCCAGGAGGTTCGCTCTCAGGCGTCGTCTGGCGCAGCAACATTTTGATGAAGAACTAGCACTGGTCTGGAGAAAAACTTTGAAGCCCCTCGCATGTGCTCTGCAGGCAAAGCAAGACCGATTTTTATGTTGGATCTTGTTACCCAGTTTCGCAAACTTGTTGTACATCCCGAACGCGTGGCGCAGCACTTAATCCAAAAGCGTGGGATTTCTGCGTCCACTGACATTCAGAACATGTGCAGAACACTCCACGAAATGGCGAGCGGCGACGGTGCTTGACCAAAGCTATGTTCAAGACCCCAATCCATCCTGCCAGCTTCAACGTTGAAAGAGATCACGCATGTACAAGCGAGCTCATCCTGACGTGCTCGTGTTTGTGCGCTCATGCATGTCTAGAGAGGTCACACGCTGAAGATTTCAAGCCATTTCAAAGGCAACAGAGTTCTGGTGTCGGCATGGAGCTTGCCGCACTGTTAGAAAGTCATTCCTTCGAAAGAAATCGAAGGTGCAGTGGCTTCACCGGGTGTGGGCCGGATGGTTCGTATTTCTTTCACGAGGAACCTCCCCTCCGCTGTTCCGCCCTTCGCTTGGCCTGTTGCCTTCCGCTTCATCAACTCCCTTCTGTGCATCCTCTGAAAGCAACCACCTTGCCTTCCCCTACCGCCGGCTTTGAGAATGAGACAAGACTACAGGCTGCTTAGGCTGATGAAACCTACGTCAGAGCTTGAAAAAGCATTCTAAAATTTGGGAAGCAAAAAGAGGCACGAAACACATTTCCAGATAACGTGCAGCGCTGGCCGGGCATGATTACCAGCTCCTGAATGTTGAGCCCGTAGTTTCGCGTCTGACGCTCTTTCTGGTACTCGTGTGTTGGACATTCCACATCGTCGTACGAAGCAGCTCTTACCATCTTGAACCATGATTCGCCTGCACTATTTTTTCAGAAGGGATCCCGCACTGTCCTCAAATGCCAGCCCTCACCCAAACGAATTACAGTTGCAAAGATCTCCGGCATCTTTGTGTGGACATATCATGACCATTGCGCCAAGCCGGTGTTGGTAAGGCCGTGGTGTCCGCCCTAGCATGAAAGCCATCTCGCCGGCTTTGCTTTTTGAAGTGCAAACTCATCAAGGATCGGAGCTGTATGAACCAGCCAACAACGGGCAACCCCGTGATTCTGTGAAAGGCTTCGTCATCTTGCATGCCCATAGTCCAGCCACCAGTGGCCATACAGCAAAGCTTGACATTCGTACATTCGGTTGACAGCGCTTTTGGCCAACGTCAAAACTTTGGGGATCTTCTGTTGGCAACTTGGATATTGGCTTGCGACGTCTCTGAATTCCTGTGTCACGAAAAGGATGTGATCCAACCCTTTAGTACACGCATTGGGATTCATGAGTTTCTCGTCACAGGGTGCTCCACTCAATTTGCTGAGTGGAGGACAGGTTTGTGATGCATAGGCGAATGGCATGTTGGAACGCGTATCAAAGGGCAAGTCTACTTTAAAAGTGATCCGTTTGGATAAAATTGTCAGGAATGGGGGGGTAGGTCTCAATGAAGTTTAATATGAAATCTTCCTTTATGGTGAATACTCCGGGTTAGCTTTTATTTGAGTGCTGGGACGTTCATTGCTAGGGGGAAGCTGCTATGAGCACGGGAGACAGATGCCAAGAATCTTTACCCACCTACAAAAGGTTGCCTGATTCAGCAGATGCAAAATTGAAAGGCCGACACCCCTCGATGTTGGGACAGCAGACCCTGCAATCAATTCAAAACGTGATCCTGGCTACGCCTGCAAAACTGAACTTGAGAGCAATCACTAGAAAGCTACATTCCGCCTTGATTCAAGCCCTCCAAATCTGCAAGTCAATCAAGTACCAATCTCCTGCAGAAAAGGCAGCTTCTGTGTTCTTGTGTAAGGCTGTGTAAGCACAACCCTCGCGCACCTCCGGGGGCAGCATCGATGGCGACAAAGCACGGTGTTTCCGCCACCTATTCAGGTTTAGCATTCTGGGTTGGGACTTTTGGCTTGTACTTGACAAAGGAGGATATTGCAACAGGTTCAGAACTCTCAGTCTGGCCTCCCAAGGCTCGAAACCACAAACATTTTCGAGCGAGGCGTGCCAAGCAGCTTCGTGTGACCCATGTCTAAACTTTGGATTTGCAAATCACCAAATCAATTTCCAGGCGTCAAGCCTCTTCACAAGCCTCATGCATCTCCTGAACCATCCAGAACAAATGAGTCGTTGTACTTGGATCGAACCCCGAACACGGATTGACAGAATTCTCATGCATCATAACTTTCTGGAGGATACCCAGACAAATCCTTTGTTTGTACTTGCACAGCGGTTTCCAAGGTCCACACCACACAAGAGCGGCCGCATGGAGCAATCGCTCCATCCGGTCCATATCCTGGCAGTCAAGCAAACATGATACCAATGCGTTAAGAGGATGCAAGCTGTCCTCACACGGAAGCTATAGAACCAGCTTTATGACTTAGATTTGGTCAACGTCTGTCGGCACGTAGCGTGCCTGTGAATATGATCCACTGGTGCGCATGCTAGGCAACCCGCAACATTTCGCCTCGGACTTACGACTGCCATAGCATCTACAGAAAACATCTCAAACCAACTAGTCATGTGGCCTTAGACTGAACGGAACGTTTGATGAGACGTGAGGCGCTGCAATACTCCTAAGCACACACAGCTTCATGCAAACTTCTACCTCCTTGACATACCCCTAAGACGATACTCCGAGGCTTTTGCCATACATTGCCATACCACAAAGCCGCACCAAATCCCGTCCTCCGGGAGCTGTATCCGCGCAAAAGCCATCTCCAAACCTCTTGTTGGGAATATGATTTGGCAGGTCCGAGGGTGATGTAGAGTGCCGAGATACAGTTCCTGCCGAATTAAACTTTGAATCGGCAGAAGCCGAAGTAAAACAGCCCCCAACAAGGAAGAGAATGATGCTTAGCAGCCACGTCATGGAATTACACCTCAAACACTACAGCTCCTTAGAGGTAACGTCCTGCCTGTGTTGAAAGAGGACCTGTGCAACATGGTCTACACGAGCATGCGTATCGAACTCAAGATCAGAGGTCGCCCTTGGCAGGTATAGGCTCAGCAATCCTGCCGTGTTTTGCAAATTCCCTTGTGTACGGCGTCTTTGTACAGGCCACAGAAGCAAAGGACTGACGTTTTAGGAAGCTTGGCATTCGCGTTTCCTACATTCAAAACTCATGACATGGACTTCTCTGGTCGCAGCCCCGTGTTTACCATCAAGTCATGCACAATTGTGAACCTGCTTTATATGTCGTGCCAAACACGCGCACATCATCATTTCCCACACCGATGAGGTTACGAATGGTCCACTTCGATGACAAGACTGTTGTGTTTACCATCAAGTGAAGGTAAATGCCGGTATGACTATGAATCCATTACAGGTAGACGCAAGCTTTGCGCTCTAAATGTCCCCCACGATAAAATCACCGATAAGCCCATCATTCTTGCTATCGTGTTTCGAAGTGCCCCACAGAGGAAACACAGTACCAAGGAAGATGAGCGTAACGATAAGTTTATTGCACTAATCTCTCATGCCTGTCCCCACAGACCAAAAATGTTTGGTAGTTGCCAGAGGCCCGCTTTCTAAAGCACTGTTTGGGCTGCTTCCCTAAATGTCCGTCAGAGCCTGGCTGTGGAAACGCAATATCACTAGTACACAAGTCGCTTTCAACCAGCCTGGTGTTTGCTGGACTGCTGACACCACCATGGTACTTCATAAGCTTCGTGAAGGGTTCAGAGCCAATTGCTGGCGTGCTGGGCAACATGCCGTCGAAAATGATGCGCAAGATGCGCAAGAGGGCCCTGATTTTCGCTGCAGTGCGAACCGTGCCAAGTTAGCGCTGAAGCACACTCAGTGCAGCGCCCACCACTTTGCTGTCTTAATCGGGGATTTCTGTCCCCCTGCCGCTCACGCTATCGCAAGGGGTAGCAATTGCCTTGAATATCCTCTTTGTTGCTCGGCAGCCGGCCACATTGCACACATGTATTGGGCCTCTGGCGAGATACCAAATGAAAATCACCACCGTCCTCGCAAACCTGTCGATCCCCTGCAAGCCCGCTTGGAGAGGCCCCGTGGTGTACTGTCCCATATCATGACAAAGTTCTTGCTTGGCCTGCGTCTGTACACAAGAAAACCTTGGATCACGGATATGGCCATGACACTGGATGATGGCCTGCTTGCTACTGGGAGGTGTCTCGTTTTTTTTGTTCTCCTCTTTTTAGTTTTCGCCTTCGTGGTTTATGTGTAGGTTTTGTCGCCCTTCACCTGACTTGCTCAACCTACCTGCCTATGGGACCTTGCCAACACATGAGCAATGCATTCTCTTGACTGCATGTGTGTGCGCGCGTCACAGTATGCACATCAGTGCACCTGCTTGATATGCCGCCGTTCAAGGACCGTGGGCATGATCATTGCCTTCACCGATGAGCTCTTCGACGACAAGAACAAGATGTTTACCACAATGTGGACTAATTTCGACGTTCCTGTAGAGAGGCTTTTCGGTCCAGACCTTGATTCGCGTCTGGGTAGATCAAGATGTTGGATTTACGTGCAGAGTTTATTTTGCTCTTGGAATGCCCCACATGAAGGCTGAACAGCATAGATTGGTGAGCATGAGCGGCCCAGGGCTGCGGCATGAAATAACGCCGGTGCACAGCAGCGGCAGGCTATCCAGCACGCCGAAGCGTACCAGGAGACAGAGAGAGAAGTCCTGTGACAGGTTTACACGAGAAGATTGAGATAGCAGGCTTGAGTCACAATGAGGTAAAGGCAAGCAATGAAAACAAACTTGCAAAAGACTAGCCTTTTAACCTGCTAATTGCCGCGGGCGTCTACAGAAACCATCACTGTGCCCTTTTGCAGCTGAAGAGATTCGCCCGGCAACCTTGCCTGCCCAAGGAAGTTGCCGATCTTGCTTCGATCAGCGCCCTTGGAAACACTTCAACTCTCATCCCAACGAAATTGGGAAGAACGCCTTCAACATAAAAGATGCAATCAGCCAAGTCGAAGGTGAAGCTATGGAATGAAACGTGTTGGTGGGTAGGTTCGTTCAGTTTGTTGATCGTCGCAGAAGCCTGCAAAGTTGAAAGAAACTCCGCGCAAATGCCGGGGCTTGAGCCCCAAATAGACATCAAATTCTTTACCACAACACAATAACATCACGCTCACGCTGCACTAACCTTCGCAGAACACTGTGAAAACGTGGGCAAACGCAACCATATCAAGACACATCGTCTTCGGCATGCTACCTCTTGAAAAATGTTCACACAGTACTGCCAAGAGATGAAGGCACAACCCCTCTGCCATGTGCAGATGGCACCTCCGTGTGCAGGAGAGCCCTAGCAGCGGCTCCGTAGCTCTCCTTGAGCAAGGTGTTTGAAGTGCAAGGTTCTGAGTTCCTTGTGGATTTTGGCGGTTTGGAATTAAATTGCGAGGGCTTGCATTTCATTGACTCATACAAATTGAGCTTAGCTGCGTCCCCAAACTGTAGCAAATTTCCGGTAATGCGAGCCCTTGCGGGAAAGGTTCTTGGTCAAGCCGTAGTTGCGGGAAAGAAGAGGAGTCTTGGGTCATTGCCGCGGATATCGGAGGCCTGTGAAAGTTATACGTAACCCTTGAGCCCCGCACAGAGAGGCCGCATGCCACTGCAAAGGCCAAACCAGCACTTGGCTTGAGGTTAAACAGCCTTAGGTAGGCAAGTGTCAGATGGAGTTTGAAGGCAGCAGCTTCACTGAGCTCAACTTTCTGCTTTCAGGCTTCAGACAGCCTTTACCTAGGCTTGGCTTTAAGAGGTCAGCCAGATTGCAAGCTCACGGACAGGTGGATTTTGGGGATCGGTGCAGCTCGTGGAAGGATGAATAGGACTCGGCCAACGAGCTATAGGATTTCAGATTTGAAGATCGTGGCCTTGAATTTGGGAGATGATCTAATTAAGGCTTCTGTATTCACAGAGCTTGTGTTTGCTGCTGGAGGCCACGTTAGGACCACCTGAAGGTTGAGAATTTTCAAAGGCTTTGACATCACGAAGCCAGGACAACATCCGAGGGCAGCTCAGCACAAGGAGCTTCATGAGGGACTTCCTGGCAGCCAACTTCAACCACACAAATATTGGGGTCAAGGATTCTACCCGGGCTAGTGAACCTTAATTTGAACTTAATGCAAAGGATCTGCGCTTCCGAGCGGTCTGCTATGTGGCCTCTGCACAGCAACCAAACATGAATCAGGTACAGGCTCACGCCAAGTAGACCTTGACGACCAAACAGAATCTCGTTGCACCGTTCTGTGGCGAGAATTGGCTCCAAGCCACAAAACCAAGGACCTAGACCCCGCGGCCGGCATCCGCACCTGAAGGTGGTAACCTCCTTGATGGAGGCTTTGGGAGTGACAAAGAAGAGCTCTCTCTCACACTGATGCGGCACGCCCACCCTGTCCTGGCATACTTGGAGGGCTGAAGATTTTGATTTGAAGCCAGGCGTAATGAACTGGTTTGAACTGAAGAAGCAGCTGCCCCTCCAATCTACAAGTTATTCCGGAAAGAGTCATGTTTTGTTTGATCTGTGCGCGCTTTTGTTACGCAGGGTCAACCTCGCATGCTTACAAATGCTTGGCCCAGTCACAACTTAAGCGTGGATAAGCTTGAAAGCATCTGAAGTCTGCAGCAGGCCTGTCCCTCCCCACACCCCTAAAACAGCCGCTAAATCGCGAATGCGATGGAATATCTCAGCATGCAACATTGCGGACCCAACCTGTTCCCAGTTTTCAGCCGTCAGTCCACATGCAGAGGCTTGCACCTCCTTGGCACTGAAGGCTGCGAAATAATCTTCCGCGCCATCTTCAATTTCCTGGCCCAGGCATGAAGAAATGGCCCGCATGAACGGAACACACCTAGTCGCCGAATCCTGGTTTCAACCTCCGTTTGCTGTTTGGGTAGCCCTCTTGATGCGGAGGTACATCTTCAAGATCTTCAAGTGCACCTTGTCTTTGCAGATGTAAGTAGTAAGCACTGAAAAAGCTTCGGTCTGGATGAACCACAGAGGCCAGGAAAGGTAGGGAGATCCTGGCCAACGAAACCCTCTTCGTGGGAGAAGTTGTGCAAAAAATCCTGAATCCCAAAAAGGCAACGATTGCCACGTGGGCAGTCTCTGCCTTACTAAATTCCCTGAACTCTCTAACATCAAGAAGAACAATTATGAATAGAAAAATTGAGATTTGTGCAGCGAGTGGTAGACCCAGGGCTGCCGGAAGTCAAGATGCAGTACCAAGCCTGCTCCGCCTCGCCAGACGAAACCATCCCCCTCGCAGACAAGAAAAAGGATGGGTTTATTTCCATAAGCTTTCTGGTAGGCACCCCCAAATATTCACAGTCCATCGCAATCTAGCATATCCGAATTTATGCAATCATACAAATGAAAACATACAAAACTACAAAGCTGAGAACGCGCCACACGCATTCAGAATTGAAAGTGGCTCGCACTCTGGCCAACTGGCATGCGCAAACAAGAGATCACCATGCACATGCAAAAATCCCAACTCAAATCAGTGCGCACACGCAACATGAAATACAAACAGATGGACATGAAAGCTCGAAAACACGCGAAACAAGCCGTTGTCTCGCACGCGCGAAGGCTGGCATCTTCAAAAGCAACGGCGTTCGGAAGCTCAGGCAAGACAAATCTAAATTCTGAGTCGCTGCCTGAATCTTTAACTTGCTCAAGCTTGCTAAAGCCGAATCAACCCCCACTCTACGCCTCTCCCAGTCACCATCCTCTGCTGCAGCCTGGAGCACCTCAATGCAGGTTGGGTGCTGTTGGGCGGCATTGGCCCTTGGAGCTGTGTCACATTCTGATTTGAGAATGTCTCTTTCTCCGGGCAGGTTACGGTAACAGCTGGGAAGTGAAAAAACAGAAAAACTGTATGGCATGCTCTGCACAATGTGGGACAGCGTGTCTTGGCTTGGGAGTCAGTGCTTCATAATTGCATGCGCTGTCCCAAATAAACAATGCTTGCTTCCAGTCTGTTGTGAAATCATGCTTGCAACAACCTAGACGCCTGTTCATGAAACTGGGCTTACTTTGCATCTGTGTGATGAGACTGAGAGGCTGAGAGGGGACGGCCGAATCCTCCAGAGGTTGGGTGTATAGTCAACAATGGCTGTGCAGCAAAACACAAGAACCCGAAATGATTGACCCGCACAATACTGCTCTGTAGGCTATTGGTTGCCTTCAGGCTGCAATGATGACTTGTGGCCTCGCGAGTTGCGCGATCCAAGGAGATCTGCGCAGGGGTCTGGCCTCATTGCCACATGAGTTTGTGCCAGAATAGCTTGCACTCTTGCAAGCTTTGGTAAGAATCCGTGGAAAACATGGTTGAGACTTGTTCGGATTGCAATGTTGCTGCTTCTAGGATCAAGGTCTGAATTTACTTGTCCACGTTGCGATTGTCTTTCTCCTGTTGATCTGTCCATAGCCTGGAAGTGTTCTGTCGCCTGCATGCCTGCTTCACAGCCAGTAGAATCCAAAATGTGCCTTTCATGCTTCTTGACAAGACATGAATGTTCCAAGCAGCAAAAAGGCAAGAATTCATGTCAGCCAGACACCATCCCCAAAACCTCTCAGCAAGCGACCAGCTGCATTGCGGCGATGCGGACTGGCACGCGCCTGCGCACGTGCAGCAACAAGGGTCTGTAAGCCAGGAGCCGCGGAAAGTACAGAATGCACAAAGGCCTCCTGCCATCGGCAGTAGGTTGGCTGAAGCTAGACGTCTTTCACATCTGCTTCCAAGCCCGCTTCTTGATGTTCGTAAGAGGTTTGGAAGCAGATGTGTCTCAACATCTCAAGGGACATATTTTGCATGTTGCTCTGTGTTAACCTCGAAGCGAGCCTGCAAAAGGAATCGCACGGCTTCTGACCTGCCCATGTGCCCTGCAATGTGCAGCGGCGTCCAGCCTCAAAATGCCAGTGCTGCATGACTGCTGGATGTCAACTACTTTTGTTGAAATTAGCGTTCTCTGGGAGGGCTATGTAGGAGAGGGGCTGTCAAGCCAGAACCTGCTGAGATTTTTGAGCACATCACATAAGAAACCTCAGCCCCATATGAAAATCCAGAAGAATAGAATCTCTTGCCAACATACGCCCAGCATGCAGTTTCATCGGGGCAGATGGTACCTTAGCCATGAGATCCAGAGCATCTCAAGCCAAGGCAGGAGCCAGCAATATCGACCGCCTCCAGAAGTTGGGTGAACTTCAACACCTGAACGACAGATCAGATAGTTGAAAGGTTCAGGCCTAGAATTGCAGTAGCGACGGTACGATGGCTTCAACCTAACGACTCGTACCTTTGAGATCATGACATGCTCAGAGGTCAACAGGCACCTCACACACCACCGGAAGGGAGCCAGAGCGACAGGCAACATGAAGCGCCGTGGTTCCTAGGCATCGATGCAAGCTGACTTTGAGGTCCAAAGTTTGTCATCAGCGTTCGTGGCCATCCAATGAAGACAATGACAGCTTCTACTTTGAGATCCTAATTCTGCTCCAGGCATCCGTTGGCGTCATGCACGTCCGGAGACGCACCCCGGAAGACAAGCCACCTGTCCATCCAGAAAGGTTGAGAGGCGGTGCCGTGCAGAAACGAAAGCCCAACATAGCCGAACATAATTTCTTTAGGCAACAGTGCAAAATCAACAAGCACAGTACTCCATGCAACAGCTTCACGCAACAAAGCCCGCTGTCCTGCAAGCAAAAAAGAGGCATGCAGCGGAACGCAGAAGCCAGCATCATCAGCAGCGTTTCTCCGCGCCAGGCAGCCAAGCGTCTAGCTCCCAAAATGTTGAAAAACAGCTTCCAGAGGCCCCTCCCTGCAACCGCAAAACCTGCCCGACTTGACCTCAAGCTGGCTCGCTCCCCAACTCCTAGCCTCGCAAAGAAAGCGCGCTGACTACGAGCTTTCACGGTAGTCAGAACCAACATTCGTGTTCACTCACCCTTCAGCCCCTTAAACAAACAAGAAAAAGTGTAGCGCACATAGTCCTTGGGATGTGTGCGTGAATTGCACAGGGGAACAGTCCATCAAGTCTATCTGTGCAGATCCAAAAGACACGCCATGAATCAATGAAGTCTTGAACGGGCCTCACAGCCACCAGACACGATGTGGCCGAGAACTGGAGGAGACTCCGATCAGAGCCTGCAAAGGCAGGGGTGGTTAGGTTCTACTTTCAATAGGAGCTGCGCGGAGAAAGGAAAGTCTTTAACCACTGCACACCACCGTGAATGACCGTTAATGTCACACAGAGGCTTCCACGCAATTTTTCTGAAGTATAGTCTAGCGCAAAAACGAAAAGTCACAATGACAGCTGCTCATGCTTCCCTGGCTTCTCCGCACCCAAGAACGAGCCAGCCTTCTGTGCTCATCTCACCCCACACATGCAACCAAAAGACTCCAACAGCTAGGAGGTATTCTTGGAGCTGCAACCCTTGAAATAGGATGATCTCGCTGGGGATCCAGCGCCCCAGCCCGCGCAGCGTCTCCTCATGACGGAGAGGACCCGGGGCATTGCAAAGCACACAACTTTGTCCAATTGCTGCTATCGCATGATAGGAGATGTCTATAGGTGAGAAAGAAAGTTGTTTGAAAGCGCGAGGCTGAAGCATAGGAACCTGCAAACGTACACCAACGCACCTCGCGTGAAAATGCAAGATATTACAGCTCCAGAGTAACGACTGCCAACTTGCACTGAGGGATGCCTCCACGGCGGAATCTGACAATGTACTCAACCCTTTCAGCATAGCAGTTTTAAAGTGTCTCATCCACTTGACAGTTCAACTCTGTGCGTCTCCTCTATACAAACCAGCAAGTATGATAAGAAAAAGCTGTTGACTATAATCCACCGTCCGTCTTCATCCACACATGCGCGTAAAGATCCCACATGTCCTCGAAGACTTGCCCCGCGGGCCCGCTGCCAGGGCCAAAAGACAGCACGTTGAAACCTTACAACAGCTTGGAGGCGCACGACTCCACGTCCCTGTGCACTTCGCTTGCCCACACAAAACTTTGCCCTGAAACCAACACGGAAACTTGGATGGATTGGCTTTATTGCAGAACTTACTGTCATGTCTTTTTTCCATGGAAGTTCTCAAGCAACCCACGTACAACGTGCGAACATTGTAATAGAACGTCTGTCTGCTCGTGTGCGTGCCTTAGCCTAGGAACCTCGAATTCTGGAATCCATGGTATCAAGCACAGTGTTGCCTGCCATTTGATTCAGGCATCCTGAGCTGTTTAAATGCCTTTATGACGAGGATCTGCAATAGCTGCATGTGAGCATAACTGTGTGTTCCTGCATCTGCAAACATACATTCGGCTTTCATGAGTTAACATGCGAAGTTTGCATTACATTCGGGCAAATCCTTTCAAACTTCTAGGATGTGCTGAG